AAAATATTATTTTATTATCTTTTATTTAAATTAGATATTAAGAGATTTTTATTATCTTTTAAAAGAGAACATAAAAAATATTAGGTTATTATTTTGATTTAGACAATTATAATTAAGATATTCTTAATATTTAATATTTTTTCATATTTTTATTTTATATATAAATAAAGTATATGAATAAAATATACCCATATAAAATATATTTTTCATATATAAAAAATACACTTAGACGAAATCTGAAAATTTAAATTATGAAACTATTTATTAAGATAATATTAAAATGTCAATGGATATAGACAAACTAAGAGGGAGAATTCTAAGAATACACAAAAAGGAAAAAAATTAATTATATTAAAGGGAAAGCAATGAAGGTAACACAAAAATAAAATAAAATAAAATTCAAAGAAAGATACACAAAATCACCAATTCATTGAGTTAACCATTGAGTTTTTAGGTGTTCTCATACTAAATTTTATAGTATATTCTTATTTATAAATTATAAACGACAATACAATTATTTTTTCAAAAATTGACCTGCAATAGCCACGTGTTAGATATACTAGATAAAATCATCTCTTTTCGTGAGACGTGTACTTGAAGCAGTTTCTTACAGTTTTGATCAACGTTTTCCATTTCGTAACTTAATTTGTCTATTCTTGACAAATTTAGAACTTCCACTTCATCCATGCAACTTGAATGTTCTAAAAGTTTGGTGATTTTTTTATTTTATTTTATAATCATTAATGGATAATATTACAGTATTACTAGAGTTCATTTCACTTAATAACAGTGAGATATCTAATTTAATTTAACAAAATCAAATTTAATTCAATTTTACGAAATCAAATGATACTGTATTATAATATAATCAAACAAATCGATATAATTCTTATTATTCCCTGAAGCACCTTTATTTAGTTAAGGCTCATCAATAACACTATACTTTGTAGTTTCTTTCTTTTTTCTCATATTTCAGAATCGACTACATTTATGCATATAAAAATAATGTTTCCTAATTTATGAACTTTCTGTCTTCTTTATTACATTTTTGAAAAGGAGTGAAGGTGAACTAGTGAACAAAATTGTTGAGGACATTTCTAGAAAACTAGACACCGGATTGTTGTCTCTTCCCAAATTCCTAGTTGGGTCAGAATCCCGTGTGCAAGAAGTGATTAAGTTTATTAACGCTCAATCAGGGAAAGGTTGCGTTGTAGGGATCTGGGGAATGGGTGGATTGGGTAAAACAACCATAGCCAGAGTCATCTACAACCAAATCCGTCGAAGATTCACACGCAGAAGTTTTATAGAGAATATTAGAGAATTTTGCGAAACAAATAGTAGAGGGCATGCTGATTTGCAGAAACAACTTCTTTCAGATGTTCTACAAACAAAGGTGAAGATAAATAGTGTTGCAACAGGGATAACTATGATTGAGAAACGACTGTGCGGAGAAAAGGCTCTGATTGTTCTTGATGATGTGACTGAGTTTGAGCAATTGAAAGTGCTTTGTGGAAATCGTAAATGGATTGGTCAAGGAAGTGTACTCATCATTACAACCAGAGATGTACGCCTACTGAATGTGCTTAAAGTTGACCATAAAGTTCATATTTGTAGAATGAAGGAAATGGACGAAAATGAGTCGGTTGAACTTTTCAGTTGGCATGCATTTAGAGAAGCAAGTCCAAGAGAAGACTTGATGAAACTCTCAACAGACATAGTTGCGTACTGTGGAGGACTACCACTAGCTCTTGAAGTCATTGGATCTTACTTGTTTGAGAGAATGAAAGAAGAATGGGAAAGTGTGTTGTCTAAACTAAAGGAAATTCCCAATGATCGAGTTCAAGAGAAACTTAGAATAAGCTATGATATGTTGGATATTAAGGAAAAGAATATATTCCTTGACATAAGTTTTTTCTTTATTGGGAAGGACAGAGCTGATGTTACAGAGATACTAAAAGGCTGTGATCTTCATCCTGAAATTGGAATAACAATCCTGGTTGAAAGGAGCCTCGTAAAGCTTGAAAGGAATAACAAACTCAAAGTACATGATTTGTTACGTGATATGGGAAGAGAAATTGTTCGCCAAAGTTCTCCTGAGGAACCTGAGATGCGTAGTCGACTGTGGTTTCACCAAGAAGTACTTGATGTATTGTCAGAACATACTGTAAGAATTTTCTCTGCATATTTTTAAACTTTTTGTTGGATTCAAATAGTGAATTGAATAATATATGAGAGAGACTCAGAGAATTATGAAGGTTGCCTTTTATTTAATTTTTGTGTTTTGCTTTTGTTCACAGGGAACAAAAGCAATTGAGGGTTTGGCTTTGAAGTTGCAAAGAACTAGTGGACTTCACTTTAATACCAAAGCATTCAAGAAAATGAAGAAATTGAGACTCTTGCAATTTGATCATGTAGAACTTGTTGGAGATTATGAATATCTCAACAAAAGCCTAAGATGGGTTTGTTGGCAAGGATTTCCTCTAAAATACATACCAGGCAACTTATATCAGGAAAATGTAATTTGTTTGCAATTAAAATATAGTAATATCAGGCAAGTATGGAAGGAGCCACAGGTAAAAGTTTCATGAAATTTTGTATTAATTATATGCTAATTGTTCCCACCACCTGCTTCTCAATTTTGTTAAATGTTTCTCTTGCAGTTGCTGGATAGGCTAAAGATTCTCAACCTTAGCCATTCAAGGAATTTGATGCACACCCCTGATTTTTCTAAACTACCAAATCTTGCAAAGCTCATTCTCAAAGATTGTCCAAGCTTGTCTGAGGTCCACGAATCCATTGGAGATCTAAGTCATCTTATTGTGATGAAGTTGATCAATTGTACAAGCCTCAGCATTCTTCCAAGGAAGATGTATCAGTTGAAATCTTTGGAAACTCTAATCCTTTCCGGTTGTTCAAAGATTGAGAAGTTGGAAGAAGATATAGTGCAGATGAACTCCTTGACTACGCTGGTTGCTAGGGATACAGCAGTAAAAGAAATCCCTCGTTCAATAATAAGACTAAAAAGCATTGGATATATATCCCTATGTGGGCATGAAGGATCTGCACGTGATGTTTTTCCTTCTCTAATATGGTCTTGGATGTCACCAACAGCAAACGTAGGATGTGGTGGCACTCAACCATTTGGGAGCATGTCAACTTCTCTAGTTTCCATGGATATACATCACAATGATTTGAATGATCTGCTGCCAATGCTAGGTGGACTTTCAAAGCTTCGAAGTATTTTAGTGCAGTGCCATTCCGAGTTTCAACTAACCCAAAAATTAGAGAGAATTATGGATTACCTATGTGATGTAAAAATCGTTGAATTGGCAAATCCATTGCAAATTTCAGAAAATGCCATGGAATATTTTTTAATTGGAATGGGAAGCTACGACCACATCATCAATATGCTTAGTCAGAGCATTTCACAGGTTCTTTCTTACTCATGCTATTTAGCTTAAAAATAAATTCAATTAACTTTTTCCTTTTATTCTTTTGTCCTAAAGTACTTGTGAACAAACTTATTCAGACAATCACTATGTAATGTTGATGGCGTGTTACAAAACTGTTGGGTGAATTAAATTCACTGAATTTGTTTCCATTAGTTTCGTTGTCTTTTTCTTTACACAAAACCATATTATATATATATATATATATATATATATATATATATATATATATATATATATTTACCTCTTGTAATTTGGAATGAAATTAACGACTAAATAGTGTTTGAATTGCATAATTCGACAAATAATTGAGCTTTTGTTCATGATACAGGGATTGAGAGCCAATGGTTGTAGTGATTTTTCCCTTCCGGGTGACAATTATCCTTATTGGCTAGCTTATATAGGTCAGGGAGATTCAGTACATTTTCAGTTGCCTAAAGACAGTTATTTCTGCATGAAGGGAATGGTTTTGTGCGTTGTTTATTCATCAACCTCTAAACACATCGCAGTTGAATGTCTGGGTGGTGTCTTGATTGCTAATTACACAAAGAGCACTATCCAAATATACAAGCGAGACACAGTAATTTCCTTTAATGATGAAGATTGGCAGGGAGTAGTGTCAAATCTAAGACCTAGTGACAATGTCGGTATTTATGTGGCTCTTGGGCATGGATTGACTGTAATGAATACAGCTGTCTATCCATTATGGATGCCATCACCTAATATGAGAAAAAGGATGCACCACCAGATGTGAAAATGAAGCCTTGACATAACCTTAAATAGGATGAAGTTGGAGACAAATATCTTTCCACCACTTAACAAAGCGAATGTCTTGTTTCAACAGGATTAAATGTTTCAATTATTTTAGTTCTTAGTATCCTGTTTCTTATTATTCTAGACTTCTTCATTGCTTCACAGGACATAGTTTGATGCTATACAATTGCTGAGAAACTATTTGGTGGGAAACAGATGTGCCTTGAGCTAACGTTTGAAGTAACCTTTTCTTGATATTAATTAATATTAAAGGGAAATGCACACAAGTTCTAGAGATTCAGTTCTTTCAATTATGCAGATGGCTTTCGGATTTCCCCTCAAAGAAAAAAGTATGGGAACCCTAGATATAACTTTGCATGCCCAATTAAAAATGGCTAAAATCTTTTGCAAGTAAATGTGTTTACTATTATAGTTAAGTGTGTGAGCACTTGTGAATATGTTATCAAACTTGTGCAAAACTTCTATAGTTAAAAACATGTGAGATTGGTTAATGAACGTCAGCAAGAGTTATTAAACCATGTTTATGTTTGTGTGTTCCATCTCAGATCTTTGCATGTGTTGGTAATTTCTTTGTGTGTTTTTCTTAACAGTTTTATCTGAGTTATGACAGGAAATGCTCACAAGTTCTAGAGATTCAGTTCTTTCAATTATGCATATGGCTTTCGGATTTAAGGACAAGTACATCTATGTAACATAGGATTTCCCCTCCTCTCAAAGTAAAAAGTATGGGAACCATAGATATGACTTTGCATGCCCAGTAAAAAATGGCTAAAATCTCTACTCTTCCATAATCTTACACACTACAATTTTCTTAACGAATTTTTTGAAGGAATTTTTCTTTTTCTTTGGCTGAGGAGAAGACTCCATTTCCATGTCAATTGATTCATCACACAATAGAAAGACAATTGTCTTCTTGACAACCAATCCATTCCCAAAAGTAACAAAAATCTCTATCTTGTCTTCATATCCCAAGTGTGCAACTATGCCCTGCCAATCTTCATCATGAAAGGAAATTACTGTCTCGCTTAAATATCTGAACGGTGCACTTTGTGTAATTAACCATTAAGACATAAAATGATTCCCTTTATGCAACAATTCTCTGGCGCAGTGAAATACACTGAATGGTCCCTCACCTGTGTGGGCCAACCAATAAGGATAATTGTCACATGGGAGAGAAACATCACAAGACTCAGATGAATGTTTAGAAAGTACCTAGGACACTGTTGATACTTTTGAAAAGTAGGCAGCTTAATGCATATGAGTGGCACAAGTCCAGAGAAGGTTGCTGATATTGATAGTGAAAGTAATTGGATTATGAGGGAATTTTGCAAGTGAAAGTAATGTCTGTAAAGTGTACACACAGGTGGGTTGTATCATATTTTTAGTAATTTGAGAAAATGTAGTCAAATGCTTGATGTGAAACAGATCTACTACCGTTGCCTAAATCATGGTTAAATATGAGAATTTTATTTGTGCAGTGTTATACTGAATCTTTATTCAATAACAATTCTTTTCATACATTCAAGCACAACTTAAGACATACCAAGTAAAGGACATTGTTGTTTTACTCCCTCGTAGAAAACGAAAGGAAGAACAACATATCGAATTTGGCGTTATGCGCTTCGATAATATCGTTGCAGTTTTGTCATTAACCAAAGCTGCGATGCATTCACTTACTCTTATAAGTCGCAACACCAAATTGAATCAACATGCTTTCTCGCTTTTACTTACTCGGTCGTGTTTCATCGAATTGAATCAATGCCTTCCGCTTCATCATCCTCAAAATCTGAAACCCAATGGATATACGATGTGTTCATCAATTTTCGGGGGGAAGATACTCGTAAGAATTTCGTTTCTCATCTCTATTCCGCTCTTGCAAATGCAGGAGTCAACTCTTTTCTGGACGATGAGAAGCTCCCCAAGGGACAAGAGCTGAAAACAGAGCTGTTCCACGCAATAGAAGGGTCTCGAATTTCCATCGTTGTTTTTTCCGAAAACTACATTTACTCTACATGGTGTCTTGATGAACTCGTCAAAATCATGGAGTGCCATGCTTCTAGAGGTCAAGTGGTTTTGCCCGTATTTTACTTCATTAGCCATTGGTCTCTAAGTGACCTGAGGGATGTTTCTTTCGAAGTCATTTTCGATCAAGCTGGTGACATCCACAGGGAGAAACAATGGCAGAATGCACTGAGTAATGCAGCGCATTTATCAGGTTGGGATGTTTTAAATTACAGGTATGCATATACATTTTGGTTCAATTTTAATTATCAGAGTTTTGTCTATTCATCTATTATTCTTTTTCTGAAGTTAAACTGAAAAAAAGTTAAAATAAAAAATCTGATACTACTTTAGCACATAGTGACTTTACGACTTCTCTGATGTACTTGTAAAAAGTTTAGCTGAACGGTTTGCTATGAACACTATGGCAGAAAGGCATAGGAGTCCAATTGTGTCTGAGGTTTATGCAACTGAGATTTTATTTTGAGATCTCTTATAATTTGTACCCCTTGTCGGGTTATTTTTTGTTGCAGAAATGAAAACACTGTTGTGAAGGAAATTGTTAGTGAAGTTATGGAAATACTAGATAGAACATTCATGTCTATTACAGATTTTCCAGTTGGATTGGAATCTCGTGTGCAACATTGTATTGGCTTTCTACGAAAGCAAACAAGAGAAGCTTATATATTAGGGATTTGGGGAATGGGAGGGATTGGTAAAACAACCATAGCCAAAGCCATCTACAATGAACTTCGACATGAATTTAAATGTAAAAGTTTCCTTGCAAATATTAGAGAAGTTTGGGAAAGAGATCATGGGCAGATTGATTTGCAAGAAAAACTTCTTTCAGATATCCTTAAAACAGAAAAGATAAAGGTTTATAGCATTGATTGGGGAAAAGCTATGATCAAGGAAAGGCTTTGCACAAAAAAAGTACTTATTGTACTCGATGATGTGAATACATTTCAACAATTAAATGCACTATGTGGAAATCGTGATGGGATTGTTCAAGGAAGTGTAATAATCATTACAACCAGAGATGTCCGTCTACTCAATGTTTTTGAAGTTGACCATGTGTATGAAGTGGAGGAAATGAATAAGATTGAGTCCCTTGAGCTTTTCAGTTGGCATACTTTTAAGCAAGCAAAACCACCAGAACCTTTCCTTAAACTCTCAAAACAAGTAGTCACTTACTGTGGAGCACTACCTCTAGCTCTTGAAGTTCTTGGATCTTATCTATACAAGAGAGATATAAAAGAGTGGCGGAGTGTATTATCAAAACTAAAAGAGATACCAAATGATAAAATACAAGAGAAATTGAAAATAAGCTATGATGGTTTAACTGATCATATGGAGAAGGGCATATTCCTTGACATATGCTGCTTCTTTATCGGTAAGGACAGAGGCTATGTCACAGAGATACTAAATGGTTGTGGACTTCATGCTGATATTGGAATAACAGTTCTGCTAGAAAGGAGCCTCATCAAAGTTGAAAAGAATAACAAACTTGGAATTCATGATTTGCTACGAGACATGGGAAGAGAAATAGTTCGTCAAAGTTCACCTCTAGAACCACAGAAGCGCAGTCGATTGTGGGTTCATGATGATGTAGTCGATATATTGACAGAACAAACTGTAAGTACTTCCTCTTCTTACTATTTTTGAACTATCAATCATCATCAATGATATTATCAGAACCATGATAAAACTTCTTATTTTTATTTATAAGTTTCCAAGTTTCGGTTTAAAACCATGATGAGATTTATATTTAGCTTCTGAAAGTATTTCTCTTGTAATGTACACTAGATGTTTACTTATGTCCCAGCTTATCTGTTTCACTTATTAACTTTCTCTTGTTGAAACAGCTAAGCTTCTCCTTGTTCACAATTTTTTTTTTTTTTTTTTCACTGAATTTTCACAGGGAACAGGAGTCATTGAGGGATTGGCTTTGAAGATGCAAAGAACCAGCAGAGTTTGTTTCGGTACTGAAGCATTTGAGAAAATGAAGAGACTGAGACTTTTACAACTTGATCATGTACAACTTGCTGGAGATTTTGGGAATCTTCCCAAACAACTGAGATGGGTTTATTGGAAAGCATTTTCATTGACATACATACCTGACAACTTTTATCAGGAGAATGTGGTTTCTATTGATATAAAATACAGTTATCTTAAACAAGTATGGAAGGAGCCACAGGTAACCTGATATTTTCTATGATGACAATATTAATTTGGACATAACTCACATACTGTATTATAGGTACCATTAGTGTTGTTCTGCATTCAAATTTGTACTTTGTTTGACTTTGATAATTTTCCTTTCATTAAACGCTTCAGAAATTACTCAAATGAAATTCCAAATTTGATTGGAGAAAAACACTAAATGAAAGTTTTGTCACTATATACTTTGCTAATCTTTCCTTTTTTTCGTTTTAATTTTTCGTGCAGTTGCTGGAGAGGCTAAAATTCCTTAATCTTAGTCATTCCAAGCACTTATCAAAAACCCCAGATTTTTCAAAACTACCAAATCTTGAGAAGCTCATTCTCAAAGATTGTCCAAGCTTGTATGAAGTACACCATTCAATTGGAGATTTAAGTAACCTTCTTCTGTTAAATTTGAAGGATTGCACATGCCTTGGCAATCTTCCAATAATAATATATAAGTTAAAGTCATTACAAACCCTCATCCTTTCTGGTTGTTCAAAGATTGACAAGCTAGAAGAAGACATAGTGCAGATGGAATCTTTGACAACACTAATTGCAGACAATACTGGTCTAAAACAAGTGCCCTTTTCCATAGTAAGATCAAAAAGGATTGGATATGTATCCCTTTGTGGATATGAAGGACTGGCACGTGATGTATTTCCTTCTCTCATATGGTCATGGATGTCACATACAGGAGGTCTTTCAGCCTGTACTCAACCATTTGGGATCATTCCAACATCTATAGTCTCCATGGATTTACAGGACAGTAATTTGGTTAATCTATTATCAAATCTCAGGGAATTTTCAAAACTTCGAAGTATTTGTGTGCAATGTGAATCAGATTTTCTAATAACACAAGAGCTAAGGATGATTCTGGATGAGTTATGCAATGTAAATTTTTCTGAATCAGAAAACGCATATTTATCACAAATTTCAGAAATGTCTATGGTATCACATTTGATTGGAATGGGAAGCTACCACCAAGTCTTCGATATGCTTAGCAATAGCATATCAGAGGTTCTTTCTCTCTTTTTCTGAGTTTCTACTTTACATTTACTAATCCATTTTTCAGAGAATCGAATAATTTTTTTTCCTGTAAAAAATGTGTTTTATACTCAGCAAATTAGGAATTGGAATCGCTTGGGGCTTAGGTGAATTTTCCTCTGGCTGTGAGCACTACTCTGTTATTTCTTTTCTTATATCATAAACTAAATTGAATACTACAAGTTCCTTTTTTACTAGGAGTTAGGATCATATCTTTCCCCATTTTGGGATTCCTTGGTTACAATATTAAAATTCAAGTACTGTATTAAACAAATTTATAGTTAGAGACTATCAAAACTATTCTTTTAAGCTTGGTCATAAAGAGCTTGTGGAAGGTGAAAATAAGTGTAAAAAGTGTGTAATAATGCGGGAATCAACTTTGGAAAATGGTCTTTATCACAAGTTGAAAGTCTTTCATGGTATCAGTTTCGCAATTTTTTCATTTGGCAAGAGTTTCACAACTATTAGTGAAATAGAAATTTCTCCTATTTTTCTTGTTTACATGTGCTTTTTGTAACTATTGACTGAATTCATTTCAATCAATTAATTTCCTTACTATTTTTTTATGCAGTATACTACAGTAGCAAAAATATCTACTTGGATAGCATATTACATAAATAACTAAGCTTTACTGCATGATACAGGTCTTGAGAACCAATAGTTCCACTGATTTTGTCCTTCCAGGGGACAATTATCCTTATTGGTTAGCCTATACAGGGAACGGTTATTCAGTACCTTTTCAAGTTCCTGAAGATAGTGATTGTCGCATGAAGGGAATGATGTTGTGTGTTGTTTATTCATCAACCCCTGAAAACATGGCAACTCAAAGTCTTACTAGTGTCTTCATCTTTAATTACACAAAGTGCACCATTCAGATATATAAGCAAGCAACAACAATGTCCTTCACTGATGAAGATTGGCAGGGTGCAAAATCAAATCTAGGACCTGGTGACAATGTGGAGATTTTTGTAGGTGTTGACCATGGAATCACTGTTAAGAAAACAGCAGTGTATCTTATATATGCTCAGTCAATTACAATGAGAATAGAGCCACGTGATCTGAGTGTGAGACTGTCACCTGAATTGAGTCCACAACCATTCACTTATGCGGAAATGGAGCCATTAAAGAAGCCGAAGAAAAATATATTTACAAAAATTGTAAACGAAGTGAGAGTATGTTTATGCTTGAAGTAGATTAAGGGTTTCTAAAACTTTGGACATTCCATTGATATCATTTTCAGGTATCTAAGAAAGTAAAAACATGTTTATGTGATTTTTACCTTTGCAGTTGGTAATTGATGATTTTTTCAGTGTAATGTAGTCACTTCTTGTAGTGAATGTTTTCTTCTTTACATCCTGCATATATTTAAATTCCATTACACATAGAATTCAATTGGTAAGGACCTAGCTTCCAATATAATTAAAGAGCAAGTAAATTGGAGGAATCATCGTAGCTCAAGTTTAGTCACCAACTCTATATATTGAGAAGTTAGAGTTATATATACTCCATCAAAATTTATCCAGTTCACACAATCAAACTTAAAAATGACAATAGAATATTAGAATATAGAATAAGGAAACCTTCAAACAAATAACAACTAGAAACAAAATACCATAAACAACTCAAGGATGACCATAAAAAGACATAATGCGAGGAGTGAGAAACAGGGTAAAATAAATATGAATTTCTTAACTATAAACTACTACTCAACAGAAACAATGTTCTGTTCTCAAATAAGAGCAATAACTTACCAGCATTCACACATTACAATTTTCTTTATGAATTTATAGAGGGCATTTTCCTCTGGCTCACGGCAAGGCTCCAATTCAAAGTCATTTGATTCACCATAGATCAGATAGACAGCTGTTTTCTTGACCACTAATCCATGAACAAAAGTCACAAAAATCTCCACCTTGTCCCCTGATCCTAAATTTGATATTATGCCCTGCCAATCTATATCAGAGATTACTGTGCCATGCTTGTGTATCTGGAATGTACACTTTGTGTAGTTAACAATTAAGATGCTTGTAAGATATTCAGTTGCCATGATTTTAGAGGTTGATAAATAAACAACACACAAAGCCATTCCCTTGACGTCACAGTCCTGAGGCACAGTGAAATAAACGGAATGTCCCTCACCCACATGGCCCAACCAATAAGGATGGTTGTCACCTGGAAGACAAATATCACAAGATTCACATCTTGCCAATCCCTGTCCCATGAGATAAAACGCTTAGTCATGTTATCATTTCCTAATTACAAAAGTAGGGCATTTTTAACCTAATTATAATGTATTCCAAAACACAAAACAGGTCTTTTAATAAAATTACAATGTATACACAAATCAAAATTTAACCAAATTGTTAATAGTTTGTTGTGCATATATCAATAACATTTTAGAATGCATTTCTGTTTTAGTATTACAGGTCTTTCAACTTATATTTCTATTATATAACTATAATCAATGGGAATCTAACAAACACATATCAAGTGTAACACGATTATCTGGGTTATTAAAATCAGGTACTTTTGAATGAAGCAATGTGTGTGACTATAGAATACGTGAAAAAAATGAATGATGAAGATAAGTACACAAAGCTAAAAGCGAGAAGGAACCTCATATATGCTATTGCTGAGAGTGTGGAATAGCTCGTTGTAACTTCCAACACCAATTAAACAAAACCTCCAGTGATGCTCTGAAATTCTTAATTCTGTAAAGTTTACACCGTATTCTACACGAATTGTTTGTACATGCGTAGATAGTTGAAATTCCGTGTCACATTGAACCAAAACACTTCGAAGATTTGCAAGGCCGCTAAGCAATGGCGCAAGGTCACGCCAATTACTATTCTCCATATCCATGCAAAACGGATGTATATAAGATAGGGGATTGATTGTTGGGGACATCCAAGACCGAATGATAGAAGGAAAAATGTTAAGTGACAATCCTTCAAATCCACGTAAGGATATATATATCCAATGCATTTTGAGCTTACAATTGAAAAGGGTACTTGTTTCACTGTTTTATTTTCAGCAATTAGTGTTATCAAGGATTCCATCTGCACTATATCTTCTTCCAAAATATCAATCTTCAGACAACCTGATAGGATGAGAGTTTTTAAAGATTTCAACTTATATATCTCTCTCGGGAGATTGCTTAAACTTGTACAGTCCTTCAAATTTATGAGTAGTAGATTGCAGAGATCTCCTATGGATTGGTGTATCTTGCACAAACTTGGACAATCTTTGAGAATGAGATGTTCAAGACTTGGTAGTCCTGAAAAGTCTGGCGTTTCCATCAAGTAGTGGGAGTGACTAAGATTAAGGAATTTTACCGACCTCAAAATCTACAAGAAGTTGGTTTTGGACAAAAGATCAGAAAATAAAGTAAAAAATGCAGTAGTTATAACTGGAATCAATTATACTATTTTTATTTTAATTAACCTATGAGTTTTAAAAGAGAAGACCATGTAATACCTGGAATTGTCTCCAGACGAGTCGAAGATGACTATGTTTTAAATCAATTGCAATTACATTTTTCATATGAAAGTTGTTTGGTATGTATTCAGAAGGAAACCCTGGCCAACAAATCCATCTCAGTTGTTTAGAAAAGTACTCATAACTTCCAGCAATTTGTACATGATCCAGTTGCAGCAGTCTTAATCTGTCCATATTCTGGAAAGCATGAGCTTCGAAGCAATCTCTGCTGGTTAAAGGCAGTTTCAGGGACAATCCCTCGGTAGCTTCTGTCCCCTCAATTGAGATAAAAATAGCAAAGAGAAACAATTGAGATGTCCCTCAATATCTGTTGATCATTATGAGCCTAACAAGTTAACAACACATGTATTGAACATGATAAAGAAATAACAAATAACACTTTCAAAAGAAGTTTCAAAATCATATAAAGAATGTTCTTACAGTATTCTTTGTGAGTACATCTTTTACATCATCGTGCAACCATAATCGACTCCGATTCCCAAGTTCCACTGGAAACCTTTTGCAAATAATTTCTCTTCCCATGTCTCGCAACAGCATTTGAAGTTTGTTGTTCTTATCAACTTTTAAGAAATTAAGTTTTATGAGATTTTCATTATAAAAAAATTCATTACTAAGAGTCATTATATTAAGATTTTCATTATTTTGTTAATTATAAATTTAAATGTATTTCATAAATAAAATTATAAATTTAAATGTATTTTCACTTTTGATCTATCATAAATAAAAATAAATAGTCTCTTATAAATGTGGTTCTATTTTAATTCATCATTAAATTTGTTTTATATTATTTGAGACAAGTATTTAAAATTTTTTTATATTTTATTTCTACGTATTTTTTAAATTCAAATTTATTTTTTATATTTATTATTTATTTTCTTATAATTTAAAGTAATTAATATTATTTTAATATTTATTTTGATGATTTTTACTATAACAAATCAAATAAAATCATTTAATAATATCAACTAATTAGAATCGTCAAATCAAATATTTAGTTGACTAGATTAAAATTATTAATTTTTAAAAATATAAAATATATTTAAAATAAAAATAATAAAATTATAGGTTGAGAAAAAAACTAGAATGAACAAATATTCTTCATTTATAATATATTTAAGTGTGTACCAATATTAACCTTCATAACTATAAAAAAATAGTCAAGAAATATGAAGACAGAAATTAGAGAAGTGAATTTTGTAGATAAATTTTTTTATAAATTCAAGCATTCATGTAGAAAAAAAATACATGAAAAAAGAAAAAACGAATTTGATGACTTATCATATTATTAAAAATTTGGATGAAATAATTATGTACAATACTTTTTTAGTATATTATGTTTTTAAATTTGCTAATAGAAAAAAACTTTCAAAATTCAAAATGTTAAATATTTTTAAATATTAAAATTGACTTTATAAAAAATTAGGAAAAAAACAATTAATCCAAAAATATAATAATGATAAAAATATTATAAAAAAGAGTTCAGAAACATATGGTAATATTTTCAGTTTTAGTTTATTTATATTTTTAATTCTCAAAGTAGAAAAATATATTATATTTATTTTAATTTAATAAAATAAAATTTTAATTTTTAATACTAAAATTAAGAGATTAAATAATAATAAATTTAATTCTTTAAATTTAGTATTTAGAAACTAAAATTATATTTTCTCTGTTTTAAAAAATAAAAATAAATATTTAAAAATAAAAATAAAAACTAGTATTATCTTAAATTTATTAAAAGTATAATTAAATCTCCATTTTCTTATTCAATTTTAGAAATTTTTTAATAAAAATCCAATATATAAAAGGTTAAAAATTAAAAAAGGCACAACCTTAACTTACATTAACTATTATTTTGTTTTTGAAAAGCTGAAAAGAAAAACTAATCTTTGAAAAAAAAAGTTAATAATTTTGAACTTATTTTAGTGATGAACTTTCCAAATGTGATCTATGTATTTATTGAGCAAAATTGAAGATGTGTTGAATATAGATTTAAATATATTTTTAATTTATTTCAATATGGTTTATTTTTAGTATTTATAAAATAGATTAGTTTTAAATTTTTAACTTTTCTAGTAGTCTAATTTTAATCTTTGTTATTAATTTTGTTAAAAATGAAGAATATTAATTAGTATACTTAAAGTAAAAAATATTTCAACTAAAGATAAATATATTGTTATAAATAATTTAATTAAATAATATATTTATTATCTAATGTATATCAATTATATTTTGATATAAATTTTGTCTGGTATATCAATTATATGAAATCAACCATGGTTAAGCAATTAATAATAATAAAGCAATAAATTTTAAAACTAGATTAAAAATAAAATATTATAAAATAAAATTGTAATAATTTGATTGAAATTGTAATTTTTTTAATTAATTAAGTTAATGAGGAATTAAAATGTAATAATTTGATGTGTTCAATTTTTTTAATATAAATTTTTAAAATATAATTTAATTTCAATTGAAGTTTTCAATTGTAAAATATATTAAAGAGTATTTGTTATTAAACTTTTCTTAAACAATGTATTGAATAGTTAATATCACTCTAGTATTAATTTATTACAATTTAAATTTTTAATAAATTTGATTTATTTTTAATAATATTTTTATTTTAATAATTTAAAATTAAATTTAATCTTCATTTTATTAATATTGAGACCAAAGTTTATTTTTAAAGTATATTTTAAAAAATAAATTGTAAAAAATATACTAAAGCAATTAAAGTATATTTATAAAAAAAATGAATTTAAATATAATAAAAAAATAATGTTTATTAGCGGGCAATTTTAATTCGGTCACTATTTTCTCATTAGCGACCAATTTCAATTCGGTCACTATTTTCTTATTAGCGACCAATTTCAATTTGTCATTCGGTCGTCAAATCGATCGCTAAATATTTTTTTTTATTTTAGTATGGAATAACCACCGATTTAGCGGACAAACTATTGGTCGCTATTTCGGTCGCTAAATAAAAAATGAAATCAAATCATATTTCAGTGGCAAAATCGATCTTTAATTGCGACCGAATTAAATTGATCGCTAATCAAAAAAATTCGATCGCTAAAAGTATTTTTTCTTGTATTGTATTTATGTATAATTTGATCTTTGTTTGTAAACTAACTTTTGTTAAAATATGATGTTATTTTCTTTGATAGTTCTTGTATTATCTAGGACAAGAAAACTAATGGAAATATTGGTTTAGTTAATGTTCTTGTTGACTTATATATCTTTAATACTTTAATTTTCCAATCTCATTTCATCCACTCTTCTACTATTGATAATGATAGCCCTTGGCATGCTAATCTAGGATATTTATCTAATGAACGATTACTCATCAAGCAACACCAACATTTTTAGATTCACACAAAAGACCCGACAGATGGAATGCCCTTCGGAAACTTGTCGGATTCCTCCTAAATAAGGGGCTTGATGAGCTTGGCTAAGTCGGATTTGATAGTCCGACTGCGTTCCAAATCAAGCTGAAAAGGATCCTCGGGTTATCGAATATCATAAAAGAAAAGAATGGTTGTTTCGATAATCAGAGTAGTGATTAGTCGTATCAATCGCAATGGAAAGCCCATGAACTACAATAGCCTAAAAAAATTCTTTAAATAAGAACTAACCTTGTAATGCTTGTCACTTAGCTAAGAAAAATTGTTTACCTTTTAACATAAGTGAGTCACATACCTTGACACCGTTTATACTTTTACATGTTGATATTTAGGTCTCGTTGTATGTTTGCATGATCATAAATATGTCCTTACTATTGTTAATGATTGCACTTAATACACTTGGGTTTATCTTATGCATAATAAGGGCGAAACCAGAACCCATTTAATCAACTTCATCACCTATGTGGAAAAACAATTTGAAAACATGTCAAGATTGTTAGATCAAATAATGGCCCAAAATTTCTCATGAAAAACTATTTTGAATCTAAGGATATAACTCACCAAAAAAGGTACATTGAAACACCCCAATAAAATAATATTGTAAAGAGAAAACATCAACATATTTAAATGTCACTTTTGCTATGTTGTTTCATTCTAACCTCACCTTAAATTTTTTGTGTTTTGGTCTAAAGCATGTTATGTATTAATTAACTTTATTCCTACTCCTTACCCAAACAATAGCTCACCCTATGAAAGACTTCACAGTAAATACCCCAACTTAAGTAAATCTTTGTGCTTTTATTGCCTTTCTTATGTTAGCACTTTGACTACACATACGAAGAAGCTGCATAATCATGTTAATCCAACGATTTTTCTTAGGTTGCATCCCAACATAAAAGGTTATCTTCTCTATAATCTCAAGACTAATAATATTGATGTTTCCTGCAACATTATCTTTTTTGAAAATCGTTTTCTTTCCACCAAACATATTTATAATGAACATTTCACTCAACTTTCTATGGCCATTGGTTTCTATTTTTATGATGATAGTGTTAACCATGATATTGCTACTAACACTATAGGGGTTATATGGTGAGTCTTGTAAGATTTTCTCCAGAGTGACAATGATCCATATTGCTTGGTCCAAACAAAACAGAATGGTCTCCTAAGAAAAAGGAGCCAAAGAAAATTGTCTTCCTAGGATTTAGAAACAATAGAGGTTTCAACCATTTGTACTTATCATGCCATAGCTTAGGATTTCTATCCTTGAAGGAATAAATTTACGGGAATATGTAGAAGAGGATTACATTATTGATTCATTGCTTGAAAATCTCACCATAGCTCAAATCAAGATTCACACTGAAAGAAAAACAAAGAAAGTAAAAGTGAAATCATGTTCGTATGTAGGTATTCCACGAATGATTCTTATTAGAATCATAACCCTAAAGTCAACCAAAGAATTTTGAGATTGTTTGAAAGAAGAATACGAAGTACCCACAAAGAGGAGCAGTAGAGTTCTAAAGGTAAAAAAAAAAAAAACTAACAACCAAACAAACCAACATCATTTCTAGGAAACAAGACTCCAAGAAGCAACAATTTCTCAAGAAAGAATTGTTATAGATGCAAGAAATGTTACAACAGATGTGTCTTGAGAAAGAGAAGACTAAAGAGATCTTGAAGGCTAAAAACGAAGCTCTCAAGCGAAAGGACAAAGGGTTTGAAAAATGTGGTCGTGAAATTGAGAAGCTTAAGGTTGAAATGAAAATACTTCATAAGTTGAAGGAGTTTAAACCTACCGTGAATTTGTCTATGTTGAAAGAAAAAACAAAAAACAAGAAGAAGGGTGCTATCAGGATAAAATGTCTTCTTCACATACATTCTTGGGATAAAGGATCAATAGAAGATCAAGAAAGTAAATTCCAACATGTTAGAAGATATATGAAAGACCTTAATGTAAAAAATAAGCCTTCTAAGAAGAAATATCATGCTAAGAAAACAATTTGCTTGAAAGTGATTGCATAGGAAAAGTATGATAGTGCGACACCAAAATTGAATGAAATGATAATTACATACAAGAAAGAGAATAACAAGAATTACAAGCAAAAGATGAGGAAAAAAAATCAAGAATAGAAA